TCCATCCATCCATCCATCCATCCATCCATCCATCCATCCATCCATCCATCCATCTATCTATCTATCTATCTATCTATCTTTGGGACTTGAATCCAAATATACCCTTAGAGATGTCTGAATCTTTAAAGCCCAAGCTAGCTGGTACCCAATATCTGAGAAAGTACTCTCCAATTTTGACCCTCCCCAAAAAAGAAGAAACTATCCACAAATAATAAGTTAAAAACTACTGCTAGGTTCTTATTATTAGTATATGTACAATGGAAAAAGAGCGTGAATATATTAGATAATTAAAATACATGCATAAGTATAGACACACATATATAACACATGTACGTAAGAAAAAAAATATAAATCCATATTTAATTATTCAATTTCCATATACAGTATTCTGCTGTATACATATTGTATATACATAGATTGTATACAGAGCTATATTCTGCTGATGGAAGACGCTTCCCTCTTAGAAAACTTCCTCAAGTGAAAGCAGGAAACACCCAGCCAATACTACTGTTGCTATTACTGCATGCAATACAATAGAAAGAAACAACAAAAATATAGTATTTCAATTTTCCTTTATATAACACATGGTTATTTCATTTTATATTAATTTTCAAAGTTGCAAACCTTATTTACATAATGAGCACCTTTTCAAATTTAATTACATTTCTCTGTACTTTGACAATAAAATTATATTTGGCAAGAAATCTGTTAAGTGTGGGGTAATGTGTGAGGAGAGAGAAAGATAAGTGTTCCTTGATGCAAGAATATTTGTTAAGAGAACAAAGCTTTTACTCACCAGATGTAACTGAATCTGTGATGTTTAAGTTATTCAGAGAGAGACCTAGAGATTGTCGTGAAGAGGAAGAAGATGTGCTGCTGGAGGACTCTGAACATGGCCTGATAGGTTTGCTAGTGCTTCCAGTCTCAGCCTTCAAACGATCATTCTCAGCTTTCAAAATCTCAATTTCATTCTAACATATAAAATACAAGTAAGAAACAATTAAATAAATGAAGTAGAGATTTCTGATCTTTCTGATATAATATGGATAATAATAATTTAACCATTAAGACCAAACAGTTAACAGAGGTGCAAAAAATATAGAAAGAGTTTTCATTGGTATAGCACGTGGAACTTTGAGGCTATCATATTTTTGAAGTATATCATATAAGTATGTATATATGGATCAAAATAATATCTATCTAATATCATGAAAATTATCCTCACATTTAATTGCATTATTGAAATAAATCCAAGTAGTAGTTTTTGTGGGAGATTTCACGTAATTAAAGATAGACTTAAAGAACTAAACCAAAATCAAATTAAGGATCTCTTTCCTTCCATTGAAAGTATCAACTGCAGATGAAGGCTGTCTCTCTATATTATGGTAAGGAAAGAAAAGGTTCAGTTCTTTCTTTCAGTCTCCTGCAATGACAAATTCATTAACTCATCAAACTAATTCCAGTGCTTTTTTTTAAAAAAACTACTAAGTTACGTAAATATGAAGGTTCTACTTTGGCAATCAGTCATTCAGATATTTTGACAATTACAGCTATTACTTAAATAGACAAATGTTATAAGTAAATGTTGGAAACAGCATAAAGGAAATTTACCCATTCCCTAAGTAATTACAGAATATAGAAAGCAGAAGATCTGACCTATTAAAAATACAGTTGCATACAAAAAAATTACTAAATTATATTTTATGTGAGTCTGTACATAATGAAATCTTTCTACATATTTACCTACTTTATGTGCAATTGTTGGCAATTTCAGAATAAGAAAACTGTGAACATGGCAAGTGCATAAATACATTTGGATAAATTACCCTTTCAGTAAATATTAAGTAATTTGCTCTTTGGTTGGAATAAGAACTTTCAAATCATTCCTATAGTTGAACTCTTCTAACCTAGAAATATTCTTAGCTTTTCTTTTTGCACTCTATCTTAAATATATTTCAATGTATTTGCAGTACATTGAAAATTGCTGCATATATTTTCAATAACATACAAGTGCAGAGATTGTAAAGACCAAAGTTGTTCAGATGAGAAGCATAGAAATTTAATAAATTATTATTACCTCTTTCAATTGATAACAATAGATATTAACTGCTATCTATATTGTTTTAACTTTTAGTTCTGAATTTTTTTTATGTTTATTCTGTATTTCACAAATTAAGCACTGCATTCTATCTTTTCTCCCACTGAATTATTCTATTTTCTTTGTTTAGAAGATTGAATCTCATCAATTCAGCTTTTCAATACAAAAGGACTCATAGGTGCACAAGTACAAGAACCATTCTATCAAATTCTTGGAACTTGATTTCAGGTTGGTCTAAATTGTACTCTCTCTTTCAATTTTTCACTTTCAACACAGCATTGCAATCATGTTAAATGCTTGAAATTAATAGGTGAAGTAAAGTAAATATGAAATATACAGATTTGGCTATCCTTATCTGATGAACAAGACAATCATAGAACAAAAATATAATCTTGAGTGGTTAGAGCCATTGAAATAAGCAACTATGAAGATTTTCTGTTAAAATTGATGTAGTTCTGATTGAAGCAACCAGAATACTTGTAAAATACTTAAAAGTCCTTCTGCTTTTTGAATAAGTTATAATATTTTGCAAAGGAATTGATAATTATAGAGAATTTTTGCCAATAACTACCCCAGGGATGCTATGCAAAATGGTGTTTTTTTTAAAAAAAGAAAGGAACGGTTCAATCTAATTTGTCTTTCATCTAATTATTTTTGAATCCCAATAGCGACTTCTGGCTTCCATCCTATTTCATGGCTCTGTTCACTTCAAGGTGATTACTATAGGGCATTGTTTTTTTTAAAATAGCGTCCTAATCAGTTGTTCCACAGAACTGACCTGCATGCGGTTCATAGCTTCCCGAATTTGGTCAAGATGATGGGCAGAGCTGAGCGCTTCAAGACGAATATCTGTAAGCTTGAGCTCTTTCTCCCTGAGCTCATTTTTTAGCTGCAGAATTATTTCTGCCTCTGCTTCTGTGCATTCACAAATCCTAATAAAAGAGGAGAAGGTAAAGAGGCAGAAAATTAAAGGAAGGTTCTCTTCTCACGGCGGTGTATTATTATAGTATATCCAAGAAGCAGAAAAGGTTTCTGCTGCTGATTCCTAGGGGCAGGAGGGAGAATTTCATCAAAGCAATATGAATCAATTCAATTGAAAAAAGTGAAAAGCAGAAACAATATCTAGGTTAAAGGTGTAAGGTTCTTTCTAAAACTTTTCTATTTCCTTTTATAAGAACAATGATGTTTTATACTCCAAATTCAATAGGACTGCATTTTACAAATCATTCCTGTATTAAATAGTACCCCTGCTTTCATTAAAAGTAAACGATTTCCAAAATAGTACAATTTGAAACTTCATTGCTACTATTAAACTATTGTTTTTCTCTCTTGATATGATTTTTCAGATCATTTGTTTTTCAGTCCAACTCATATATAATGAGGTTACACAATACTTATGTATGTTAAATATCAGTATATGTGAACTGACTTAATTGATTTCTTTTTTGTGGTGTTCAAAATGTCTATGCTATGACTGTAGAATTTAATCTGTAACAATGTCAAAAATGCTAATATTCAATATTTTGTGCATGGCATAACAGGCAGCAGTAAATACATATGCATTACATCATGCTTCTGTTTCTGACACCATGTAAGATGAAATCAGAAACATTTAAACTTTACTAGTGAATTAAAACTGAAAATTCAATTTTTAATTCTTTCCTTTGGAGCATTAAAAAAATGTCCTTTCTGCTCATTATTCAACTGATGTACAATAGCAACCACACCATTGTTCACATAATAGTCTTTTAGTTCTAGTTTTTTCTACAACATATAATCGATATACTGTATTTTCAAAGCATGCCTGCAAAGACATTTAGGGAGAAAATAGAGAACATCCGTCTAGTTCTTGGATAAATAACTCCAAGCCCCTTGTGCCAATTTACCGGGATCTATGCTTGTAGATCACGGGACCATTTTGCCTTTTCTTTGGAGCCCAGAATAGAGATGACCTGCATATACACGCATTAGACAGACAGATGCAAGTGAAAGAAAGTAAAGGAAATGGTTTAGAAGATAAGAAACCAAGAAAGAAACAGAATAAAAAATGCAGTAGAATGAAAAAGTAAAAGTTTTAAGAGGGAATGATAACTAAATATGAAGATTATGTCACAGTTTAAACAACTCTTGTTTATGCCTTTCAATATCATGTTGAATGTGGGAACAACATAAACCACAATGATCAAAACCAAAATCTAAGAGACTTAAGGTACAACTTTAAGGTTTTACAGTATTCAGTGTGATTTTTTTATCAGCATGCTTTGGAGTGCAGTCGTTACATGCAAGATTGCTATTTTGTCATATATTTAAGGCAGATTTAATTTGCCATTTTAAGAGAAACTGCTAGGACAGCATATCTTTCCTGATAGGCTGATTCGCAAAAATATTATTTCAGCATGTCAAAACATTCAGATATTTGATATCTGTCTCTGCCCATTTGGTAATTTGAAATGTTGCACCTCAGCAAACAGATGTATCATGAGGAATCACAATTGCACTATTATGGTGCATAACTGTGAACCAGAAAAAAAGAAAGTCCCTTTTAAGACATTGCTGCAGTTTAATATATATGTTGACATGGGTAGCGTTTCTTGATCCACAACCAGCAGAATGTTTTGCAGAGTGGCAAGCAGCATGTTTCATGTCAGCATGATTGTAACTGTAACTCTACAAACTTCTATCTGTCCAGGAATTGATCTATTTGGCTCAGCTTGTACAAGTATTTATTGCAGTCAAGAGTGAAGGGTATTACAACAGATCTAGCCTACCTCAGTGTTCCACAGTTAGAGCAATGTAAATGCCAGTGCTCCAGGGTTTACATTTTAAGCTGCTTTCTCTTACTGGTTACAGAAGGCAGCTGGGATATGTTGTCATAATGGTCCTTATTAGCTTGAGAACTGCTACACCAGTTTCATTATAAGCAGCAATCATGAAAGTTATTGTATTCATGGTCAAAGAGTTTCTGGGATTGAAAAAAGGAGGTCTGTGTCTAGTGATTCAAGAAACTGGCAGGCTATTATGAGAAACACATTATTTTTACACAATTCATTTTAATTTGGCAATTCATTGTTAAACAAGGAGTGGCTCCTTCTTTCCTACCCTATTGACTGGATTTCATTTACATTCATGTGCATTCATGAATACCATATGTGTTTTTGCAGACTTACATTGCTTGGGTTTGAGAAAACCAAAGGGAATTATTGGTTTAGAGACTTTTCTTGCTTATTATTGGAAAGAGGTTCCATAGAATATGTAAAGGGGAGATACATACAGGTTATTCTTCCTATAGATTTTTAGCTTCACATTTAGCCATGTGAGTTAACTAAGCTGTTAGAAATTACTTAAGGCAGAAAGGAAAAAAAACCAAATAAAAATAGCTGAACATTTGGATAAGAAAGGAATATTTTTTTAAAAAAGGAAAGCATAGCAAAGTGGCAGCTAATGTTAAAAAAGCAACAACTTAATATGAAATGTAATAATAATGGAAGGATTAAAGAATACTGTTTCCATGAGATAAATATAAGTAGCTTTGCTTAATGACTGCCCTGTTTAGCAACTACCCTGTTTCCCTGAAAATAAGACCTCCCAAGATAATAAGCCCAATCAGGCTTTTGAGTGCATGCGCTAAAATAAGCCTTCCCAAAAAAACAAGCCCTCCCCAAAATATTGCAACACAGCAACCATGTGGTGACCACGCTCGCCACCTCCTGCACCTCAAAAATAATAAGAACTCCCCCAAAATAAAGCCAAGTGCTTATTTCGGGGATCAAAAGAAAATAAGACTCTGTCTTATTTTGGGGAAAACATGATATCAAAGTTGCAATGGTACTAAAAAAGTATGTTTATGACCGGTCCTCTCACATATAACCATTTTAGCATCCTGCAGTTATCTGATTGCCATCTGCATGCTTCTTAACTGGTTTCTCACAAGCAAAGGCAATGCAGAAGCCAGCAGTAAAATTGTAAGTCATGTGATGTCTCACTTAAAAATCATGGCTAATTCACCTAACAACAGCATGGAAGTGGCATTGTAAGTCAGGTGCAGTTAAGTGATTTTGCTCAACAACCATGTTGCTTAGCAACAGAGTTGCTGATTCCAATTATAGTCATTAAGCTTCT